TGTTTTACCCATCGGTTAGCGTTAGATTCCTACCATCACCTATTGTCTGGGTAGTGACTGAAAGAATGAGGTTATGGATATTAGCAGCGGGAATGAGTTCCCTTTAAGGGTGGCTGGACTCTATAGAGTTTCTATAGCTTCTATGAGGAGCTTGGTCGTTGGTCACCATGAGTGGCTTGGAGTAGGATGTCTCTTAGGTGAGGTGTTTCGAGCACAACCTACTGGAAGGAGCCCACAGTGCAGTCTGAGGACTCGCTGGCGAGATTATATCTCTTTGCCTGCTTGGGAACAACTATGGGTGTCCCCACCCGGATGAGCTGGAAGACGTGGCTGGGGAAAGGGAAATCTGGGCTTCTCTGTTTATAATGCTGCCCCCACAACCCGAACCCAGAAAATCAGCAGAAGATAGATAGACGATTGGATGGATGATTCATTTTGGTGGTTGCCAAAGGATCAAACATCCACAGTCACTGTGTGGCTGAAAAATACAAACATTAATTTCTTGTACATTTAATTTTGAAACTGTGTAATAAGAAGTTCAGTCTTGGCACTCCCTCTTTATTTTGTGTGACACAAGAAGACTTGGCAGGTCCCTTTCATTTTTGGAGTCATAATGAGAGATGAATCATGAAACTTCATGGAAAGATGATGCCTTTGAGAAACGAAGATGTTTCAGCTTGCAGTGGTGATTTGTGGAATCACTTGGCAGGTTTTTCCTTTGTTTTGTTTTTTTACATTCTGTGCTGTTGAAGCCAAATTCTCAAAGTCATACCTGCATGTTTTTGATACAACACTGTACATATTTCCAGTAGCTGTAATTTTCAGCCACAGCTCATTCAGTTTACCAGGTTTCACTTGAGGGTTCATTTTTTCTTTTGAACCTACGTTTTTGAATCAAGGGAGGACCTTGAAAGATCCCATGGTTCAAAATATTTGTTCTTGAAGCTTCAGTACATGATAGCAATCACATTTAATCATAATTCATGCTACAAAGAAGAAAACTCACTTTATCTAAAGGTAGCTAGTGTCATTTCATTTAATTAAAAAACTGATTTTTTAAATTATTGTGAGTATTCTAGAAAAATATTTGCAAAATCAAACTTCACATTTCTAGCAAATGATTGTCAATTTTGCCAACTAATGAGGGAAGATATAGCTAAAGTTAGCTAACTACGTAGGCTAGTATTTGCCATCTTCAGCATGCAGTTTTTTAAGGATATGTTTGTTTACTCGAAGGCTACAAAATGCCTCTTTCTTCATAGGGCTGCCAGATTTTACTGTCAGCATCAATAGATTCTGATTCTGATCGTTTACTTGAAAACTTCTTTAATCAGCACCAGCAAAAGTACTCAGTTGGGTCTCCATTATACTTGTTTTGTAATTTAAAAAAAGAAAAACAGATACTCAGTGTTTAAGTTTCGGTGGTAACTTTTGAGCTGTTGAGTCTGATGATTCAGTCACTTAATCCCTGACAAATCAGTTCATAGTTCAAATAGTCACAGCTCATTTCAAGTCATGCACCCTGTATTTATTTTACATTTTCTGGTAATCTACATACTGTACAACATAAAAATCCCAGGACAGTGAATGTATCAGAATCTGCCATGTTCAAACTTGCCAACACACACACACATCCTGCTTGCTCTGACGTAGAGTGAAAAAGTAACCAGCCCTCAAGACTGATACTTTCATGTGCTTCACCCTAGTGACTCACTCCCATACAGGGAGTTACCTTGGAGGAGGAAGAAGAATACAATTTGCGCAAATGGGCTTTTCAACTAATTAATGATTAAGTGGATGCTAATTATTGGCCTGATTGCAGATTTTAGGGTTCACCCACATGTTTTCCAGTAGAACAAAAAAAGAAATAAATATTGCTTCTTACTCTCAGGAGATGAGTGCTGAGGTCATGGGAAAAACTTAAAAAGTTTCCTTTTCTCTTTGCCCTGGATTTGCCAGCAGTGCTTCAGTTGCATTGTGTCCTTTAAGAGTTCCCCGGGGATGATGACATATGGTCACCATTTAGTTATCATAACAGTGGTGCAGCCCAGCTCGTTACTTAAGAGTATTCACTTTGAACCATCGTGTGGGGTTGTACAAAGATCTGGGATCAAGTTGGTTTGGAAACGTTATGAAGTGAAAAGACGAAGAGTGCAAGTCCAAAATAAAACATGTAACAGCATGTAAAAAATCTGCAGTAGTGGCAAACAAACCTGCAGGACCCTAGCAGTTGGTTTTTCAGATCAGTTTCTGTGCTGTGATAAAATACTTAAAAACTCTTAACTAGCAGGTAAAACCACGTTGAATAAAATCTATTAATAACAACAGGATATACATGATCAGATATCTATCAGCATTTGTTTTAGTGCTGTTCTTTACTTTATGACTAAATAAGGACTCATAAACAAAAGATGTTTATGTTGGCGCAAAAGTACTAACGTTCCATTAGAACCAGGTTCATATTGGTTCTAAATACAATATTTTACATGTATTATATTAAACAAATATTAACATGCTAGTCATTAACATCTCTTTTAGTCATCAGCATTATAATACATTATGCAAGAATTAGCTTAAATCCTGGTTATTTCTGAACATGTGTCTTTTTCTTAGTGATTAAATTGGCCTTGTCCTCCAACTGCCACCATAAGACAAGATATGCATATGCATCCTTTAACCTCCCTGCTTGGTCTCATACTGCAGCTCTTCTAAACACTGTCTCACTTTTTTTTATAAAAGCATCTTTATATTTCAAAGTATAATAACTTTGTTTCTATATCACATTTGAAAATGGAATTGAAAATTCAAAAGGCAAAAAAAGACAAAACTAAAAAATATAAGTCACATTTAAGATAAAGTTTAAAGATAAGAACATAGGACACAAAAATGCAAAGCTCAACAAGTTAATATGAAATATAGTACAAGATGAGTAATGATAATAATTCTCAATTAAAAAAAGACAAGATCATTGTGTTGCAGGAAGCAGTTTAACAAAAGTCACTGATTCTGTTGCAGGTTGTTTCAAAGCTTTTGGATTTAGGAGCAGCTAGAAGGACCACACACTTTCTTCTTATTGCCATTAAAAAGTGATTTTAATAGATGGTAAAAGTGCTTTTGGTCTTTTCAGGTGACTATAATCGAAACAGGAGTGAGGGGAATGATTGCTGTCGGTTTGGTGCCTCAGTTTTACAAACTGGATCATCAACCAGGCTGGCTACCAAATTCTGTGGCTTTCCATGCTGATGATGGCAAGTATGTGACAATTATTTTCTTTACAGTTACATTCATGATATGGATATGCTCCACATTAAAGCACTTTTAGCAGTGTGTGCTCATGTGTCAGTCATGATTGAGGAACCAGAAACATAGCACTTTTGTTTGAATACTTTTGGGAACAGCCTGAAGGAGCAGAATAAAATGCTTTCAGCAACTGGACGAAGAATAGTCGATCTGTACATCAGGATTTATTGAGCAGGTGTGGTTATGTACTTTGTGAAGGTTTCCTGTATGTTCCTTTCAAAAGAATGAAGTGCGAAGTGATGAAAACTTAACAAGGGCACACTGACCTGGAACTGAAAGCCATCAGCTGTACACAAGCATGTTTTAGTTTTTTTGGATCATTAGTTTTCAGTTTTATATCGTGTGTTTTTGTTTGAGCTTTGACAGTAAATGATTGGAAAGAGAAAGAGAGCGAGACATAGATTATGACAGCGGTCTCCAACCTTTTTTGCGCCACGGACCGGTTTATGCTCGACAATATTTTCACGGACTGGCCTTTAAGGTGTTGCGGATAAATACAACAAAATAAAACTATTACCGGTACCGAAATAAATAAAATTTATTCATAACACACGTGAAAAGACCCAGGAAAACCGAGTAAACGATTAAAAACGATAACAAAATAATGCTGAAAACCGATAAAAACCCTGAAAACTATACATTTCACACCTGAGCCTCAACTCTCGCAGCCCGGTACCAAACGACTCACGGACCGGTACTGGTCCGAGGCCCGGGGGTTGGGGACCGCTGGATTATGACACAACTTCTTACTTTTACAGTTGCACATAATGCAGTACCTTAGATCCTTAGATCAATGACTTAAGGCGTTTTCATCTGATTTTTTTTATTTTTTTGTAAAGATAGAAACAGTGACTGTAGCGAGGTAAATGGCCTCTCCTTTTTGTCTCTCTACAGGCTGTATAATGGCAACACTGTAGGACAGCAGTTTGGTCCAAAATGCTGCAGAGGTGACAGAATCGGTTGTGGAATATCACTAGATGGTGAAGATGGACAGTTAACAGTGTTTTTCACCAAGAATGGTCACGAAGTAAGTAGTGCACCCCATAAGTGCCTTTGTATCACTTTACACAGATTTCATATATTCTCGCTGCTAATCTCTTAAAAACTGTCTGATTGTGTGCTCAGGTTGGCAATGTGGACATCCCAGCATCTCCCGATGGTCTCTACCCTGCAGTGGGGATGCACTCTTTAGGTGAAGAAGTGCTGCTGGACCTGAATGCTGAATGGGGAATGGAGGAGGATGATGGACAGATGATAGTTGACAGTCACGAAGAGGACTGGGCTCGTCTCCATGATGTCAAGGTCACTGGCACGGTAAGTCCTTTGGAACAGGTTGGCCTTGAGGATGTGATGCTAAATTGCCTAACATGAGCCACTTCACTGAGCAACAAAGCAGCGTAGATAATGAAAAATATCAGGTGGTGTGGAATAGAAAATGAACGGAGCTTCATATGTCTCTTGAGGATAGCAGCTTGGAGCTATATTGGCAGCTAATGGCATAATACACTAAAATCTTCTAGCAGACTGTCAGAGCTGTATTGTAAGTAATGTAGGAAAAAGAAAATGTAGATCAAACATACAGTGTTGTCTGGTTCTGCTGAACTGGATGTGGTAATCTTTTCAAACTGTCCATCATGTTATTGCTAAATCAGGAAGAATCATGACTCTAACCCTAACTAACCCTTGCGAGATCCAGCATGTTCAGACACCATCTGAGTCTTCTTAAAGTGATTTAAAGTAAGAGAATCAATTAAAAAATATAACATAATGTTATGTGGTGTAAGCCTTTATCTAAGTATTAATTATTATGAATAGAGGCAAACAGGATAATACATAGCTTTATAGCAGTACAGTAACTGTTTGTAACTATTACGATGGCTCAGTGGTTACCAAATAGTCACCTGGGCTTGTGCTGGTTTCCTCTAGGATCTCTGGTCTCTTCTGTCATCATAAAACAAGTTAATGCTCTTAACCCAGGACACTTTCACAAAACAGATTCTAAATCAAAAGACTTTCACTTTGTGGTTAAATACTGGCTCTAAACCTTTAAGAAGCTGTAGCAACTGGTGACAAATACTATACGTTTATGCCCATGTGGCTGGGTACAGCTAAACTATACTGTGCTATAAACCATTTATTCAGTGCATGTATATTCCTTTAAAAGGGGGCTTTGAATTAAAGAGTTAACATAAGAAATGTGCTCACATGTATAATATCATTGATGGAATTAGTGCATCATCACCCACATTACAACCAAAACGTTGATGTTGTGACAGAAATTGTGACTGCAATATTCAAGATTGTAAAGACAAGAATTACTAAAGTGAAACAAAGCAATAGAAAAATAAGCAACATTTTCTCCAAG